AAGCCTACACCTTCTTTCTTTTTATTACATAGCCCATTGTTTCCAAAACATGGGTCATTTGCAGAGCACTCTCACAATTTTTGCTTTATCCTGCAGACTACCGCTTATTTATTTGGTATTTTTCTATAAATTGACCCCCTTCTAGCTTACACTTAAAAGGAAGCTGTGCATCATTCTACCATCAATGGCAAGTTGGAAAATTTGCCCTAAATCGAAAGCACACATTAAAAGAAACTTACAACTATTGAAATTAAAATGTTTGTCTTCATACTATCTGCAGATACTTCCTGAGCCACAAGTGATCCGTGTACTGTGTGTTAGGAAATGTTGCATTATATAAGCTCCATGTGTTTTGTAATACACACACTGTTCCATAATAAAATGGTCACATCAGCAAAAACAGTATTATGAAGCAACTGCTTCAGTGGGAAGAGTTGGGATCAGTGAATGGGGAGTTTCACACTTGAAGCAATGAAATTATTCTTGCAGGAATTTCAACACCAAAGGTCTTTCTAAATGCCGTAAATGTATAGCTATAAAACCTCAACTCTGAACAAATCCGGAGTTTAATTTACATCTAGCTTTTGCTCAGAAGTCATGGTTTTTGTTCGCACTTTCTACTCACACTATCATTAACACTGTGCTTCTTACACGTCCTTATCATTATCAGCTGTTTTATGATAAACAAAGCACAAATATGCAAAGCAGATGTGTTGAGCGCACAACATCTTTGTTCAGCTCCAGTCATGAGCCAGTTCACGCTAATCTGCCTAGTTGGCCAGTTCCTTATAGAGATCAAATTATAACCAATAGTGGTGTTGGTAATAAAAATGTATTCCCTAATTAATTGAGCATGTTACATCCAATCCAGTTATGAAAATGTGCACTGGAGGACAAATACACATAAAAAGATACACACACGCCTCTTCAAGGTTGAGAGAAGGCCCAGCCACTTCCATTATTGGAGGCTCCCAATACACTAAAAAAAATGAAGAAAGGTCAAAGCCAAGTTGCAAACTTCGTGGTATATTTTAAAAATTCAAGTTGAATGATAGCTTTCCATCCTCTTTGTATACCTGTGAGTAGGTGTGTAGCCTCATTTAGAAATAGAGCCTCAAGTCTGTATGTGAGGCCTTTGTGAATGTGAAGTCCAGAAGGTCCTCCCTTCCTGCCCTCGTTAGGTTCAAATATACCATAAGGCAGAACATAACATTTTAGCAACGTAGAAACACGGAGTCATCCAGGGTGTATTTCCTTCTCCTGTCTCCTCCCTTATCTTGTGGACTCTTGCTAAAACCACTCCTGTTATTTTGGTGCTGCTTGGGTTTCACACTTTTACAGTTTTCTCATCATCCTTGGAAAGCCACTGATTGGTAGCAAGAGGGCCAGGCCATTTTATAAATGCCAGAACACTTACTTAGATCAGAAAATCAGAATATTAAGAAGCAGGGATGCAGTTATAGTTTTCTTCCACTGCATGTAGACCTGATGAGTGCTTTCACCACAAGAACCGCTTAATGGCCGCACACTCGTGCACGTGTGCACACACACCCACACACGGTACAGAGCAAGGAAAGGACTCCATGCCGTTAACATCTACTAAGTTCTCAGTGCACGATTCTTGCTGAAACAGTATAACTGTGTAATGGGGAGTGTTGTGTATGTATTTATGTAAAATAGTATAAAATAGTATTTACTTAAGGATATCTGTTGGGATTCTGTTTGTATGACCTTGTTCTAAGATTGATGCATACTTGTGATCCTTGCCTCTCAGGGCAGAAAGCAATTAGTTCATTTGGTATTCTGTGTGAGAAATCTTAGGCCTGTGTACGGCCTCTTCCCTACCCTTGCCAGGTCCAATTATGCCTCAGCTGAGTCCTCTTCCCCACCCCCCCCGCTTCTCCCCAGTCCCCAGAGTTCATCTGAGCACATCTGTTGCTCCATGAAAAGTGTTTTGGCAGAAACTTCCCTCCCCTGTGCTGGGAGTATCTGTCCTCACTGGCTTGGAACTGTTTTTGCTTATTTTATTTAAAAAAAAAAA